GCTTAATAAATTGAAACATTTTTCTACCAATTATGCCAATAACAAGAGTAAAGTTGTTTGAACATGGTCGATAGCAGGCCCCTCCGATAACGATCGTATAATATAGGCTTAATATATTGTAACATTTTTCTACCAATTGTGTCAATAACAAGAGTAAAGCTGTTTGAACATGGTCGATAGCAGGGCCCCGATAACGACCGTATAATATAGGCTTAACATATTGTAACGTTTTTCTACCAGTTGTGTCAATAACAAGAGTAAAATTGTTTGAATAAGGTCGATAGCAGGGCCCTGATAATGACCGTAAAATATATTAATTAAAGTTAAAACATGGCCGATAGCAGTGCCCTGAAAACAACCGTAAAATATATTAATTAAAGTTAAACATGGCACGCAACTTAGTTGGTTAGAAAAAAATTAATTAAAAAAATTGACTTAGAAGTTAGAAGCAATATATTATTAGTATACGAAATTGCTTGAAAAATAATAGCACTTGTAAACTTTTGCCAAAGTAACTTTACGAAAAGAAAAAAACTGTTTTCTTTATCCTTTTTCATATGCCTACCTTTTCTTTGGCCTTAAGATTGTGCTGTGCACAAGGGTCAAACTATTCGCACAATTTTCACATATTTGAAAATGGCCATGGACTACAAGACAACTGCCCAAAAACAAAATAGAATTATGCTAGTTGTGCATAATGTCGTGTTTATAACGGTGTCCACCACCTCACATTGAGGGGGACCACTTTGAATGTATTATATTTTATTCGAAGTGGGTCCCCTCCATGTGAGGGGGTGGACACCGTTATGAACACTCAATTATGTATGTGTAGCATTACCCAACAAAATATTCAATACTCGAATATTTCAGAGTGATATTTGTTGGGTTCTCTACAATGCTGTTTGATGCACATTATTGAGTGGAGAATGCATTTTAAATTGTGATTTAATAGAAAATATGTGGTTAAAAAATAAGGAAATATTTTTGATTTACATTTAATACTATTTTATTGAAAAATACGTGGTTGAAAATGAGTTTTAAAAAAATAATTTTTTGTAAGAATGTGGATCAAAAATGGTGTAAATCAAAATCAACAATTAACTTTAACCGTACATGTATAGGATCAACAAAATTTTCAATAACACGTTCCATAATTTTTTATTGATATCTATTAAAAATCTAATTTTTATCTAAACCAAAAAAGGAACATAACAAAAAACTTCTTTAGTTTTTTTTTTTTTTTTTTTTTTTTAGCGATCGTGATAAAATTATTTATATTTCAACTTGGTGGTAGCAGGAGCTGTACTACTAGACTCGCAACATTTATCCTACATTTGACCCCCATTTTTTTCAAAAATTTATTTTTTCAAAACTTTTTTTAACCATACATTCTCTTATAAAATAATATTATACGTAAATTGAAAGTTTTTCCTTATTTTTTGGTATTTTAGTGTATTCTTCTTTCTTTCCTTGGTCTTTCGTTCTGTGATATTCCTAATAACTTATCCAATTACAACGTATTAACAGTTAATGCACCTTTCTTTTATCAAATCTCAAGGACACGATCTAATCATACATTCTCCAAAAAATCATTATTCTAAAACTCATTTTTCTTCAAATTTTCATTAAAATGAAGCTCAAACAAAGGCTCAACTAGTTACGTATAATAAGCATTTTCTTCTTTATAATTTACCTAAGTGGGTCCTCCAAGATTTTCAAAGTGTTCGAGGTGTAACGGTCTAGATCATGCCCTTCGTCATGTCGTGGAGTCGTGGAATTGACCTATAATTTGCGGACACGTGTAGAACAATTTTTAGCGGAAGGATTTGGCTTTGGGCTGGAGAGGTGGGCGTGCATTGATCGGCCCATACTCATTAACTTATTTTTCTAGTTTGTTTCGATCCAATTGATGGAGTTATTGGAAAATGAAAATCCCATTTACTTTAGTAACTGTGTGACGGATATTTTGAAAAATAAAAATTTTATTGGTTAGTTCGATTTAAAAAAAAAAAAAACAATATTCACACTGTTTTTAGTTTGCTCTTCAATTTCCAAAAAAATTATTGACACATTTCATAAATTGAGTTTGATAGGATTAGATCACGATAGATAATATATAAATTTTGGTACACGTTTATATTCTCTAATCATATTAAGCAGTATTTACTTCATTACAAGCTCTCTAAATGCAGTCTAGACAGCGAGCCCTCCCCTTTCTGACTGGATTGACTCGAAGAATGGTCAATCTCCTTCGGAACATGCTTCATAGCCACTCATTCGTCCTGATCAGAATCTATCTCTCAACAATTCTTTTCTTCGCTAATCACCCCTTCCCAATTAGCCCGCTTGATCGATCTTATAAGATCGGCTAATTCAATTGTTTGCATAAAGATTCATCATCCTTTCTAATTCAATTACTTTGTTTCTAGTTAATAATGTCAGGTGAAAGCAACCAGGCATAGAGAATAAAAGGAAAACAATCAAGATTGAATTTAAGCCCTATTTGGTGTAGATTAAAATAATATATCTTTTTGTAAATTTTGATAAAAATTGATAAAATACGTATTTGAAAAATCGTGGATCCTATAAAATATAGGTTAAAATTAATTAGTGAATTGAACTAAAAATTATTATTGAATTTAATCCAAACCAACGATGAGTCTCGTGTTATACATTTTAAACTTTTATTTATGATTGATCAATTCAAATTCTAACATTATCTCCTGCAGTAGCTCATTTAAATATTGTGCTCGTCAGTCGTCATAGATGACTTTTATATATTTAAGAAAGGAACTTGTACATTTTAAAGGATTTTAACTCTCAAAAGGGGAGAAACATGTAAGAATTCTTGAGTTAAATGAAAATGAGATGTAACTTTAGTTTATTCGAAATTGCTAGCAAATCCTATCTCCTATGGACAATTGACAAATGAATTCGATTTGAATGTTACTTTCATATCCATAATAGTGCATAAAGAAGGTCCGACTTCAAGTTGTTCAACAATAGTGGCATTGAATTTCTTGACCTTTTGACTTAAGATTAATCAATTTTATTTTTCAATGAAGACAGAGAAGGGGAAAAGACTTGTTCTAAGCATGAGAGTGTAAATCTCTATTCGTTTCCAATTTTTTAAAACTCGTTTTTTCTTTAGACTTATTTTCAATTACATATTTCATGAAATTCACAACTTTCATTAATTAATTACATATTTCATTAATCAAATATGATTTGTAGTATATATATATATAAAAAGGCTAAAGACAAAAATATGAAGAAACTAGTACCTAAAAATAAGGGAAAATTGCGGCCGTGGTCCCAAATCTTTCATTTTGTTGCATATTACACCAAAACCTTTTATTTTTGCGTCCGAAATCCCAAATCTTTATATGTAGTTGCAGCGTCGGTCCTAAGCTTTTAATTCCATCCATAAAACCNAGACATCACATTTTCATCATCGATAACTATCTGATCAGATAACAATTCGATCCGATTTGTTATAATAATCGAATCGATAAATTATTTTTATGACATGTTATTTGTCACTAAAATAAATAAATGAGAAAATAAAAATAAATAAACTATATTTGGTACTATAATTTGTATGTATTATTAAATAATTTTTAGATTGATTAAAATTTTAAAATAATATTAAAAATAATATTTATCGATTCAATTATTATAACAAATCGGATCAGATTATTATCTGATCAGATGATTATCGATGATGAGAATGTGATGGCCGTGAAAAGATTGAAAATTTGAAGAAAACAAAATTTTTTTTGGATAACTTATTTTGGCAATTTTACCAATCAATTAAGATGTCATTTGAGTGAAAATTACTGTTTCAACGATGACTGATGATTTTATGGACGGAATGCGTGAAATAGACCAACGCTGTAACTATATATATAAAGGTTTGGGTGTAATCTGCAACAAAAT